AGAGCCGAGGCTCGGGGCCTCGCTTCGTCGCGCTTTGTCGCGAGCGCGGCGCGCAAAAATAGACACGTTTAATACCTTCGCCGACGACCTATAGCCGGCCGTCGGCGTCGGCTCGGCTCGCGCGCGAGCGGCAAGACCGCGCGCGGGGATTTAACAGCCACTTGGGTGAAAATTCCGACGTAGTGACGATGGATGTAAAAACGACGGTTAACTGAGCACGAAGAGAGAAGAAAATCTCAAAATATTGGGCGCGCTTGTAATTTTCACACAGGGTTTGAAAAAGCCCCGGGTTAAAAAAAAATTATAAAAAATAAAAACTCATAAAACCCGGAAAAACCTCAATATTCAATCATTAGTAAATTATGAGTGAAATGGGTCAACGCATTGATGAGGAGATGCGCTCTTTGGAGTAAAGTAATTAATTATATTTTCGCAATGGGTTCGTGATTTTTAACTCGTCGCCGGGCGACGCGAAACCGCGCGCGGCAAAATGGCGCGCAGTAACGAAGGCGCGAGGTTGTTAAGCGCGACGAAAATCGTGCTTTAAAGGGGATGGATTCGAATGGAACCACGGGATAACGCGCGCGCTCGTCGAGGCAAATCGTAAAAGATGGACGTCCGAGGCGTACAAAATGCCGTCGCGATCCGTCGCGTCGTCTAAATATATCGCTCTCTCTCATCGACGTATCTCGTTGCCGTCGTGCGTCGCGCAATTCGCTCGCGATTCGTGTCCGCGACGGGGAGAGAGAGAGAGAGAGAGAGAGAGAGAGAGAGAGAGAGAGAGAAAAAGAGAGGAAGAGAAAGAGAGTCTCCTCACGCGGATCGCGAATCTCCGGATTTATACACGGTACAACGTCGTTACACGAGCGTCGCGCTCACAGGGAACGAGCGAACCGGGGGATGATCAAAGTAGGACGCTCGAAAGCACGGATCGAAGCGCTGATTAGTCGAGGCTTCGAGCGAGGTGCTGCGAGATAGCGCTTTTCGGAGCGCCTCGATGTCGTGCCGCCGGTGCCGCGCGGCGTATCGAGGACGTTATCCGTGGACCCGAGCGTCTATGTGTGTATGTATGCGCGCGCGTGCGTGTGTGTCCCGCGTGCGCGCGCGCGAACTCTCATATATACGCTCGTGTGCTTGTGTACGAGCTCGCGAGGGAAGATGGAACGGCGGAGCGAGCGACCGAGGGAGAAGCGCGGTCGGTGACGAAGGGGAGGAGAGCTCGCTCTCGCGAGTACGAGAGGGCGACAGGGAAAGAGAGAGAGACCGGCAACCGATGCGAGGGGCAGAGAGAGAGAGAGAGAGGGTCGGGACGAGGGCCTAAATCAGGGGCGATCGCGCTGAGCGACGTCGCTATCTCTGAATATGCGAACCACTATTTGGCGTCCGCGGCGCGCACGTACCTAGAGAGAGAGAGAGAGGGAGAGAGAGAGAGATAGAAGGAGAGGAAGAGAGAGAGAGAGTACCCCGTATTACTAGATACTAGATAGTACCTAGCCTCTGCCCGTAACCTATGTACTACCTCGCCCGTCCCCGTAGAGACGCGCGTGTAAGTGCGCGAGGTGGAAAACGCCTTGCACATACACACGCGCGCATGTACATATACATATACATATATATGTATATCTATGTACGCGCGAGTATGTGCATGTGTGCTTACACCTACGCGGTTACATGCCCTGCGAACCGTGCACACGAGAGCCAACGGCGAGAGCATCGAACATGCCGGCATCCCTTCGCTCCCTGTGTACGCGGTGTGCGGAAAACTGCAGAATAAAGTCGAACCCTCTCGCGATCGCGGGAGACGACAACGGGTTCGACTATCGTCGTCGTTCCCGTCGTCGTCGTCGTCGTCATCGTCGTCGTCGTCGTCGTCGAGGCGCGCGGTTTTATCGCGCGGCATCATTACGTGCGCGCCGTACCAACTCGAGAGGACGTACTATACGAAGGGGACGTTCGTTAAAGGCGAATATCGAAAAATGAGGGCCGCCGCTACGTCAAAGACGCACGAGCGGGCTCGTCGAAGCCCTGGGAGATTATTTGGCTTCGCGTCCGCTCCTCGACGCGAGACCTCCACGAGACCTCTTTTTTAAAATTCGTACCTTTGAAAACGAGATACACGTTGAAGGAATGCTCATTATGGTAGAATATTGAAAAATAAGCATCCTTGGCGGACCATTAGACCATCTGTCTTTGAAACACTGCCGTCCATATATTTTATGAGATGCGTATTATTTATTTCTGCGTACGGACATTAAATAAAGAGGTGAGATTATTGAAAAAAAGTGTGCTATTTCGAGGTCGAATATACCCAGCGCGCGATCTTCGTCCGCGAACGTGGCGTGGAACTGGTTTACAATATTTTCCCGATAATCGCCGGCGAGCGATTGGCGCGCGGTGATTTCGCGTCGTTAATCAGGATTTCCACCTAATTTGAACCTTGTAAGCGCGCTCACGCGCGGCGTCTTCTTCTGTCCCTTACATAGTCCAGCTTAGTCCGCGAGAGTTGTAAATTACCGCTTCGTATGGCGCGAACGAATTAATACGGCGAGCGCGGGTCTCGCGTAAGTTCGTGGTTGAGAAACACTGTGCCAGCTGCCGCGGCGCGGTGGTATCTCCGCGTTGTCTGCTACCTCACACCCTCGTCTTGCGTCCCACGTGGATGCCGGTCGAAGGGGTCGCGCGGAATGAGGGTGACGCGCGGGGCCGTGGCGGCGCGGCGCGGCGCGGCGCGGCGCGGAGTAGCGCGGCGCGGCTCGGCTCGGGCGACGAGGGGATACGGGAGGAGGGACGGAATGACGACGCGGCGCGGCGAGGCGAAGCGAGGCGAGACGAGGCGCGGAGAGAGACGACCGAGGGCAACGACGGCGACGAGGGAGGCGCGAAGGGGAGGAGGCGGAAGGGAGGTAGAGGTTGCTTCGGTATGGGTTGGGTCGGGTGGTCAGAGGGGGCGGAAGTGGGCGAAAGGGTCGAGGGATACCGCCGTTGCCGTCGCCGCCACCCACTGACCATCTCTCTACCCTCGTCGTCACCATCGTCGTCGTCGTCGTCGTCGTCGTCGTCGTCGTCGTCCAGGCTTCTCTACTACGCGCCAGCAAAAAAAGAGTCCTTCTCATATAACGTTCCAAGACACGGGCGAGATCCGCGAGGGAAGGGAAAGACGGACGCGAGAAACGTCCGCGTTCGACGCGCCTCTATTCCACGAATTTTTCCGCGAGATTGTTCTTCGGCAATTTGTCGGAGATAAAAAGTTGAAGAGCCGAGAGAGAGAGAGAGAGAGAGCGAGAGCGAGAGATAGAGAGATAGATAGATAGAAAGAGGAATGAGCGATGAGAAGAGATATCGAGAGCGGGAGGGTGGAGGGAGAGTGGGTGACGGGAGGAAACTGTTTAAACGCGATCACTGGGACACGCGTTGTGACGCGCCAACCGTGTTTTTCCTTCTCGTCTGTTTCTGTTACTCTCTCGCTTTTTCCTCCTCTCGCCCTCTCTATCGCCCCACAAAGTACGAAGAGAGAACGAGAGTGCGGCGTTCACGTTTGTACGGTGCAATAAATTCTACTCGTAGATTATAATACAGTGGCGTAGGTCATGGACCGAGGACGATACGCACGCCACGCCACGTGCTCCCCACGTTTGCTTGTATACATTCTATCTCGCTCCGTTTCACAGCCCTACCGCTCACGTCGACGATTACTGAATGTGTTCACGTATTTACTCTTTGGTATTATTATTATTATTACTTCTCTCTGTGGACTGACACGTCGGCACATGGCGGGACGCGCACGAGCGATTAGCCTGCATCGATAATGCAGAATCCTCTATGTAGATGCGACAATCGCGGTGATGTATGATACGAACAATTTTACAGTTCCCTGTTATATCGTCGCGCGATATCTAAAGTTAAATTTTATTCTAAAGCTCGAGTTACCTCAGAGTTATGTTCCGTATATTTTAACTACAATACTTGCCGTAAGAAGGTGATAGCTTACGACTTTGCTTGTCTAGCTACACTTAATATATTCATGTTGGTTACGTCAATCCCTAATATTATACACTATTATAACAAATTATAACCAGGGTTGTGTCGTAGATTTCAAGATTACGTCTACACGGATTATTTATGTGAAATCTACGTGATGTTTACACTTTTTGCTACGTAGACAATCTAGACTTGTAAACTATGTAGAATATTGTAAATTGTGTCACTAATATATACAATATAAAAGAATTAAATTATAAAACAGTCTCTACCCACAGTAGAAATGTCCAAAATGTATCTAGGAACAGGCTAAAGAT